TGAATCTTTTAAGTGTGACAAATATGCAAAAAATAAAAAAAAATAAAACGGTAAGGGGGCCAACACTTTTTCACACCACTGTAATTTTTAACATGATTTTTTCTAACAAATGATTTATGGATAATCAAGCAAATCTAAGTTGCTTCATTCCAGTAAATGTTCATCTTAAAATTACACTAACAATATAAAAATGACTTATGTTTACTTCATAAAAATCAGTAGCTTTCACAGCAAAAAGGCACGTTTCATTACCTTGAAGGTGTATGGTTGTAGAATTATACTAAAAGGCCTTTCACTTACTAATGAAAGTATATACTGTCAATCAGATAACACAACATTAGAGGCCTTAGAAATTCAAGTGTATTTTTCTATTACTTAGCACCCTGTTTCCATTTTAAAATAAAAACATTTCTCCTCCAGTCAATAAGCAGCTTGCAGACAAAGAGAGAGTGGCAGCAGCTCTGGAGAACTCTCAGCTGCTGGAGGTGGTCAACCAGTGTCTGTCCTCCAGAGCCATGTGATCCCAAGAATCCTGCCGCTGTTGTTGTGTAGTCCTTCGACAGTCAGGATTGAACACTTACAGACAAGCCAGAGTTGAGTGATAATAACAGTGCTATTATTTGTGGCTATTTTTTATGTATCTAGTGCTGTGCTCCACAAACAACACCAGACCAGGAGGACTGTTTAGTGCTTAAAAAGTGAGAGATGCTTCCAGGTAGAGTTTAAAAATGTGTCAGGAAAAGAAACGGTGGTAATAGAGAATTCATGTGGAACCTATATATATATTTTTTTTTTATTTTATTTTATTTTTTCTGTTTGACAGTACGTGGATACAGAAATAAATGTTATTCTGTCATATATTTATGAATATGTGCAAAATGACTTTACTTTTAGAAAGTTGTGGACTTTTCAAATACATTTTTTTATTGGTCAAAATGGAAAATGTGTGCAACAGAAATAATTTGAACTGCTTTTTGTAAATCTTGTTTTTGCCAAAAAAAAAACAAAAAAACATGTGAAATCAGTTTTGTTAATTTTTTTTAAGAAGTTCAATCACTTAACCATGAGCAAACAGTATTTTTCTATGGCCAGTAGAACTGTTGTAGTTGCTGTGGTGTAAATATTTAATTTCTACAGATAAATCAAATACATGGCTTTACTGGTATATGGATAGATCATAATACATCATTATCTTTATACTAGACACTTCATAATATAGGCAGGGTTACTTCTAAAATGTCCTCCTGGAAAGAAGACAGGGTCTGTGGCACA